GGAGGGGAAAAATGAGGACCTAGTGTCGGGGGCTTAAGTGGAGAGGGAATATTTTGAGAATGATGAGGGCAATGAATGTACAAATGCGCTTTACACAATTGATGTATGTATGGATTGTGATATGATCCCCTAATAAAATGATTTTTTTAAAAGAAAAAAAGAAAAAAACCCTGAGTCCACTGAGACTGTGGGGGGAAAGAGAGAAGAGAGAGAAACAAAAGTAAAGATAAAGCTGAGCCCCGATTGCCTGACCATGGGACTAGAGGTCTTTAAACCCTGCCCAGAGGTGGCAGCAAGCTGTGGCTGTGTTGAAGTAAAGCCCTTGGGCTGGACAAAGGAGCCTAGCTCTGGCCGAGACTGTGGAAGGGCTAAGGTTAAGCCTTAGCTGGCTTCCACAGTAGTGAGCCAAAAACCCACAGCTCCTCAAAACCTAGTGGATCTATGTCTACTTATCTTTATCATGCTCCTCCTGTGACCCGGCAGCGTGGAATTTCCCTCTCAGTGGCTCTCCTGCACTGATTTCTGCAGAGTCCCTCTAGTATGTGTTATTCGGTCGCCATCTTGCCAGAAATCTCCTGGATTTATTTTCTGTCTTCTTCTTTTTTAATGTTTTATTTGTTTAAAGAGCCCTGGTGGCACTGCCTGGTATATGTTGAAATGCTAATTGCAAGATCCACAACTCAAACCCCCCAGATATTGTGAGGGCAAAAGATGAAACTGTCTGCTCCTGTAAAGATTTATAGCCTCAGAAACTCTAAATAGGATGGCTGTGAATTAGAATCAGTTTGATGTTTTGGTTTGGTATAACAGAAAACTCACCCCATAAAATCAATTCTGACTCAGTGATCCTGTAAGACAGACTAGAATGGCCCATAGGGTTTCTGAGAGTGCAAATCTTTCCAGAGGGAGACAGCCTCATCTTTCTCCAGTAGAAGAGCTGGTGGGTGTGAACCTCCAACCTTGCAGTTAGAAGCCTCACCCTTAGACATGGAATCACAATTCCAGCTCGGCCCTTGCACCATCCCAAAGTTTGATCTCATCTCTCTGTTCCAGCTTGATGGCTCACACTAAATCCTTTACCTACTTTCTCTTGATCCCAAATGAAATGAGAACAAAGTATTAAAAAGATCCAAAGCTTGATACAATGAAAGAGGTTATGACAGCCCCAGATATTTAAAACTGAAAATAAATATATGCTTTATGTTAAATGAATGATTAGCTCTCTAGGTGAGAGTTGCTTGTGATATTATAGAAGCATTGCACACCTTCATTAGTTATATAAATATAGACAATCTTAGGTTTTCTCCATTGTATATTGAAAGAAAAAAAAAAACACCAAAGGAGGATGGCAACACATGTGCTTGACACAATAGATGGATGTCTGGATTGTGATAAGAGTTGTAAGAGCCCCCAATAAAATGATTTTTTTAACAAGACCCTTAACATGATGCTCTGCTAAATGTTCTTATACTAGAAGTGTAGGAGCTTCACAAGCTTTACTCCCATTGGGTGTGGGTTGTTCCCAAACAGTTGGATCACTCCCTTTTAAAATTTTTTGGGAAGTTGTGTTTTCACAATAGCTGTCACTGAAAGTGATTGCATAATGGAGAGTTCTAATTGGGAAAATGCTGGATGACCTAGTAATTCATATGGTTTTTCTTCTTCCTCAGTAGCACTCTACAACTCAAGTACTCCCAAGGGATCCATTTGTATTATTCTTACTGGAAAAAAATAGATGTTATCTTCTAGGCCTTTATTATAATATGCTATTCAATGGTTTTCATTAATAATGGGAAAACGAAACCTGAAGAAATATAATACTATAAATATAAACAGATGCAGCATCCCTGTGACCAAAGAAAGTAGCAGAGTTACTTGAAATGTTTCTATGGAAACAATTTGGATTAAGTTTGAGCATCACCTTTCTTCCATCCAGAAAACGTCTACTGCAAGGAAGGAGTTATTTATCAACACCTGAAAATGTTGCTTAACCCCATGTAAAATGAGATAGCCCCTTTATTTTATTTTCTTAATGACATGACTTATTTTTCAGTGTGTGAACTTAAATCTCCTTCGATGAGTGACTTCCTGTGGGGACTGGAGAACTCTGGCTGGTTAAGGCACATTAAGGCCATCATGGATGCAGGCATCTTCATTGCAAAGGTATGCGATGGCAGAGGAAGTAGACGTACTTCACTTCAGAAAAGAGGTTCCGTATCTTCCTCAGAGACTGCCATGAGTGGGTGGTAGTCTTGGTAGACTTCCACTTTGTTTGCCTTAAGTAGAAGTGATTTTTTGAGAGGGTGGTGATCAGCTGCGCATATGCCACTGAATAGTTAAGTGGTAAAATGTCTGCAGAATATTCTCTCTTCAGCTAGGCTTGGAAGAGGAAAGACGTCTCTTTTCACACAACTAAACTTGAGTGGGTCAGTCATAGGTGCTGCTGTCTTGTTGCTATTGACTCATAGTAACTCTATAGGGCAGAGTGGAACTGCTCCATCAGATGTCTTAGCCTGGTGTTGTGGTGGTTCTGCATTGGGCTGCTAACCACACAAGGTCAGCAGTTCAAAACCACCAGCTGCTCTTTGGGAGACTAACAAAGCTTTCTACTCAGAAATACATAGTTCTACCCTCTTGTCCTAGAGCAGTGGTTCTCAACCTGCCGTGACCCTTTAATATGGTTCCTCATGTTTCTGTGACACCCCCGCTCAACCATAAAATTATTTTTGTTGCTACTTCATAACTGTAATTTTGCTATTGTTATGAATCAGGTGACCCCTGTGAAAGGGTCTTTTGACCCCCAAAGGGGTCACGACCCACAGGTTGAGAACCGGTCCTAGAGGGTCCTATGAGTCAGAATTGACTCTGTGACAGTGAGTTTATGGTTTTTGTTGTTGTTGTGTTGTTGTTTTTAATGTTTACAGGAGACTATGACCAGATCTTTATTCCCTCAGAGTGACCGGTAAGTTCAAACTACAGGCCTTTTGAGTAGCAGCTAAACACTCAACCCTATGTACCTTGCCTCTTGCCTAGTAAATGAATTTGCCTATTTTAATCATGGCATTAGCAAAAGTCATGCTCTTGAAGCTGTTAGGTGGATTTCTTTCTGTCACAGGACAAATTTTGCTGCAAATTTCACATAACTTGTCACTGAGTGCCTTGTCCATCTGCATACTCAATGACCTTTGATAAGTCTCTCTGATTTAGCGGAGAGAGAACTGTGGAGTTGTTGCTGTTGTTGTTAATGACACTGTATGTTTTCCACGTAAACGAATTCACTTAATCAATGCATATTTATTTAAAGCCAGACCCCATTCCAGGTGCAAGGATAGTAGGCTGAGTAAGTCAGATCAAGTCTCTCCCCTCACAAGCTTGTGTGGGAACCAGAAAATGTGTAAGTGAATAGGTACAGAATTGCAGGTAATTATAGGTATGATAAGGAAATCTCTGCCATGTCTCCCTCCCAGTTTATATTTCCTGCTCAGATATGAGAGGTGCTAAACATTCAATAAACCAAAAAAAAAACCAAACTCCCTGCCATCTTAACCCTAGAGGATAAGATAGAACTGCCTCCTTTGAGTTTCTGAGACTGTAACGCTTTACTTGAGCAGAAACCCCCTCTTTCTCCCTCAGAAAAGCTGGTGGTTTCAGGCTATTCACCTTGCAGACAGCTTTTTCTGCTATTATTCTTCCTTTGTTTTCTCCCTTTCTCCACCCCATATCTGTTGCTTGGCTATTATCCTTTTATTTCTAATGGTATTATAATTTATAACTTTGTACCGTTTTCGTTTTGATAATGAATTAAGCGGATGACATCTCCGGAATTTCAATACTAGAAAGACTTGAATTAAGATGGGAAATTAGAAGGGAGGAAGGGTTGAGGAGAGGCTGAGGATGTGTCCTGATGGTGCGTTTGCAGAGGAAATACACTTCTTTGTAGTCCATATGCGTATTTGCAGTGGCTTGACGGGTGGCTTCTGGGTATCATGGGAAGAGCACAGAGAGCTTTGGCCACTCCCCAGGCCACTCCTTGGCTCTACCCCTACTGGGCGGGGACTAGACACTAGATGAACGAAGAAATGACTTTAGCTTTTGCGAATCTGTTTCTTTGTGTTTGTATGTAACCGAATCTAGACCGATTTCTGTTCGATTTTCCTCCGCCTTTGTGATTTCTTGTTGATTCTGTGTTTTCAGGCTGTTTCCGAGGAAGGAGCTAGTGTGCTTGTTCATTGCTCTGATGGGTGGGATAGGACGGCACAGGTGTGCTCTGTAGCCAGCCTCCTGCTGGATCCGCACTACCGGACTCTGAAGGGCTTCATGGTGAGTGTGGCCCCCCAGTGCTTCCTGTTTCTGGAGGCAGTACCTTCAGTAGTCATGGGATGCCTCTGTTGCTGCGTCTGAAATGGTTTGCTTTGATATGTAGCGGAATGGCAAAACCCAACAACTCCCTGAAGTTGAATAACTCAGGTTGCCTACACCTTATTGCATGCCCCCACGCAGTCAAAGGATGGGAGTTACGAGGTGGATGGAAACACCATACCAATGAATTTCGCATCACTGCCCATGCTGACAGCCCTCATAGGCATCTTCGCTGCCCATCTACTCCTTTCAAGTCATTAGAGATGATGAGCTAACAACCTGGGGTCAAGAGAGAAGAGCAAGCTTCCCTTCTTGGGCCCTCCTTCCCTTCCTTCCCCCCTTCTTTCTTTCTCCCTATCAGTGTGTCAGAGAACTTGCCCTTGCCAGTGACAGCCTTGAGACTTCAGGCCGACTCTCTTGCTTCTGAATACTGAGGTCAGGAGGACCGTATGCCTTCATTTATATTTGGAAAGTGGAGGGCTCCCAGGTCCACTCAAGCATGGAACGCCTTCATTATGTTTGTTCTCATCCCATTCCCACTATTTCACCACTCTTTTCTTGATTTTCTTTTCATTCTAATTCTCTCATTCTAACTCTGTCCCATTAAACTTAGGACACGCAGAAAATGCCTCCTGCGTTCCCAAGGTCTAACTTCAACCATGTCATTAAAACTAACAAACATTAACTAAAAGCCTCTGGCTGTTTTTAGACCATTGGTTTTATCGATGAGCCCGTTCCATATGATTTGCTTAAAGATTGTTGTTAGCATCCAGATGTCTTGAAGTTATAAATGTATGCTAACCCGAATTCCAAAGCAGGGCTGGTATCTCTAAGTCAGTCAGTTTACACCAGTTGGGCGGGACTGGTAGTTACTTTGGGGTTGTTGAGCTTGTTAACGTGGCAGTTGTATTCAAGGTTCTAAGGTGGGCAGCTGTGCTGCTGTCGATTGTGAAAATCACAAATTTACATTCCTTACTTCTTTTTAACATTCATCTTTGCAACACTGTGTTCCAAGTGCCCATAGTTAATGTTCATTCCGTCCATTAGATAATGTTTGTACTATTTATTTTATAAAACATGTTATACTTCTGATGAAATGCTACATATTTATTCCCTTGTATTTGTTACTTCAGTAAATAAACAGGTAACATAAAGAGAAAAATTACAAAGCAACGAGACGGTGACACATTGTCATTGTTTCAGCTTTGTGTTATGCCCTAAATTCCCACGAGATATTATGAATGAATTATGCGATTCCTAAAAGTGTTCAAAGATCTCAAAATATTATCAGAACAATTGCTGTAAGACTTAGGTGACCAGATGTCCCGCTTTTGGCGGGACAGTCCCGATTTTTAACAATTTGTCCTGCATCCCGCGGCATTTTCAAAAAGTTCCGATTTTTGGAAAGAATGCACGACAAGCTAGGGTATACAGTTTTCAGCTGCCATGTGGCTATTTCACCAGGATATGAGTTTTATCAATGGTGTCCCGCTTTACCAATGTTAAAATCTGGTCACCTTACTGTAAGTCGAGCAGAAGTGGAAAGGTTTTTTTTAAGATGAATATAATATGTTCAGAGAAGAGAAGTCACCTGTTTCTAATCTATCAATATAATTAGAGTAAATTGGCCCACCTCTGAAGGAATGGGAGTCTACTCCTACAGTGAAAGGATAGTTAAGGATAAATAACACAACGGAAGATGGTTGGATAAAAATGAAGACTATTGCAAGGGAGGAGACCAACCAAGAAGCAATATGGAAATATCTTAAATAACAGTTTTGCTTTTTATCAGGCATTTTTCACTACTTTCCCATTAATATTTTAAAACACTTTCTTCTAACATAATTTAATTTTGTGTGCCTCTTTTGTTGTTCATATTTAAGTATTAACTGTGTGGAATATTAAACTACCTTTGGGTACAGCACCAAACAGGCTGTTAAATTATTTGAATCCTACCACTGCTTTAAAACTCCCATAATCTTAGAATTCTAATATACAGTGATGATTACTGGGAAACATTTCTGTCGGTTTCTTGAAAGAAAGGTTGGTCTTTTGCATTAGACTAAGAGGCAGCATCACACATTGCTTAGAGATGGGCTTGGAGACGAAAGCATCAGACTGTGAGGTGGCAGGCCTCCTCCACCTCCTAGTGGCATGAGCTTAGGTGAGTACTTAACCTCCCTTTGCTTCAGTTTCCCTTTCTATAAAACAGGATCGAGTCTGTGCATTCCCGAAGTAAAGACTCACAATTAAACACATACGAAGCAATGTGAACTATTCCTGGTGCATAGAAAGTATTCAGTGGGACGTATGGTGGAGTGAAACTTCTTAGTATCGCTCATCTATCCATGTCTCCTAACTCCCACCACATGACTAGATGGAACTGTACAAGTAGTGTGTGTGTAACACTAGCAGAGAGGATTGGGTTTCCACTCCCATGGCTATCAGGATGCACGTGTCAGCAGGGAGAGGCACATTGGATGTGGAGCAGGTTGGGATCTCTGTCTGCTCTCTGAAGTAGCAGAGGCTGAGGCCAGAGGCACCAAGGGCAAAGGCAAGGGGCTACAAGGCAGAACAGAGGAGACTGAGAGACTGTGAGGCAGAGCAGCAGGCTGACTGCCTGACTGATGGTGGCAGAGACCAAGGGACCAAGTGGCTGAGAGGCCGAGGTCTGGAAAGCAGCTGGGCTCCTGGACGAAGGGGTATGTTGCTACAGATCATATGTTAACCTGTCATACTAATCATGTTAACCTGGTTACTCCTCTGATAAACCATATGGTGAGTATTCTCTGTGAGTTCTATTTGGCCATAGCTGTGATTTATCAAACCCAGCAGAGAAGTTAATGCCATGGGTGGAATCATTGGTGTCAGAATAAGTAAAGAAAGATGGAGGAGGGAAGCATGTCTGACCTCTGCCTCATGGCCGTGGGAGGAAGCCAGAGGGGGTCAGATATGGTTTCCACTCCCCCCCATGCTGGTTTTATACAGGGGGCAGTGAATGTTCATGCATGCATTCCTATTATATTTTCTTTTGGATGATTTCAGCTTTCCCCTTCATATATGCATTTCTGCATTAGTGTGTAAGCCTGCATATTCATTTGCAGGGTAGTCCAAATGTGGTGGTGTCTGCTCCCAGCCCCTCTGAACCCTCGCATTGTGTCTGGTCTCTTGTGTTTCCTTTGTTGACTTCTCTCCATGGTGCTAATAGTTCTTTCTTTTGTAGGTGTTAATTGAAAAGGACTGGCTTTCCTTTGGACATAAGTTTAATCATAGGTAAGAATATTTTAAAATCTGTTGTTTTGAATGTTCAGGAGAAGAACAATCTGTTTTTCAAGTTTTCCGTTGCGTGTCTGGGAGAAACAGCCTTATTTTATACAGGTTTCTTATTTGCATAACTTTTTTAGTAAAGCTCATTGGTGTTTGTCATATGTATTGCATCGTTGACAAAGGAAGTTCTGTTGGCATCACGTGGGCAGGAATGAACTAATGGCAAATTGTTCCCGAAGAAACCCAGAACGCTTGTTCATGTCATTGACCTAGAAAACAAAAGCTTTCTCTTCCTCCTGCCTTAAACTTTTGATTGACGGAGATATTTCATTGTAGAAGGGTAAATACAGTAATAAGAAACACTCACTTTAAGCTACAAGTTGTGGAATAATTTCTCTTTGACTCTTCACAGTGGGAATGACATTGGGATGGCTCTATAGCACGTGTCCTGTAGGTGAAGTGTGTTCTGATGTCCCTGGAGCAGTGTGGCTTTGGAGACAGATCTGATTTTAAAATCCAGGCTATTGGAATTTACTAGATGTGTGGATTTGGTCATGTCTCCTCTCTGAATTTTAATCTTTTATTTGTGAAATGAGAGATACCTTCCCTCTACCATAGAGTTGTAGCAAGATTTTTTTTTAAAGTGTATATGACTCAAAACCTACCCCAGGAAGTGATCACTAAAGCTATGGGTCCTGTATCAAAATGGTGAAGAAAGCAGATGATGCCTGGCTATCAGGAATAATATGACAGGGTGCCCCCACACCCCTACCCTCCAAAAGGACTAAAGCTCCACTGGGTGGAGCTTTCGTGGTATGCATTTTTCCTGCTAGGCAATCATTGAGCAACTCACTCTGAGTTAGCGCACCCAGTGGCATCACCTGGAAAGGTTCTCTGGTCACAGTGAATTTTTTTGTAAAAGCAGTTTTGCTTGAACCTCATTTTTTTGGATGGCCAATTTAAGAGAACAGCATTTGGCTGTGAAATTTTGTTTCCTGCTCAGGAAAAATGCTGCAGAAAGCGTTGTGATGTTGAACACATGATGCTGAACAAGGAGAGAGCTATGGGAAAAACTCAAGAGTATGAGTAGTTTTCTCCTTTCAGAAAAGGTGAAATGTTGACTGATGACAAATCTTGTTCTGGGCATTCCTCAGCTTCCAAAATGGATGAAAATATCGACTCATAGTGCATTTGTAGTTTTGTTTCACCAGGCCAGGCTGTTAGTCAAGCTTTCTATTTAGAGGTTCTGAAAAAATAGCTTAATAGTGTTCAACAAAAAGGTCCTGATTTATGGCAGACGGGGGACTGGTTTTGCCACCACAACAATGACCCTGCTCGTGAAGCCATCTCAGTTCGCCAGTTTTTGGCAAAAAGCAGCATGCCTCTCTTGCCCCACACACCTTACTCACCTGGCCTCATGTGTAGCTTCTTTTTGTTTCCGGGAATGAAGAGGGACTTCAAAAGACAGTGATTTGATGTTGTAGAAGAGGTGAAGAAAAACACAAGGGAGGTGCTTGCTATCAGCCATCCAAACATGAGTTTGAAAAATGTCTTCAAGAATGGAATCACAGAGGGACCAGACTTCAACCCAGTGCTCCAAGATGTGAATGCAACATGCCGGTATGGAATAGGGAACCAGTGGAGAGATCTGAGGGGCTGGCCCCAATCCCAACTACTACGTGGACACCTGCCCCTCCCCACAGAAGAATTTAATTCAAAGGACGGCATTGAATCTGCAGCTCCAGGAGAGGGACATATCTCATTGGAGCACACGGGAGCAGATGAAGGGGGAGGAGGAGAGA